GTAAGGAGAGAGAAGAAAGGCGATTCAAGGCCCTTAAAAGGACATGGTCAACCCCACAGGCCTAAAATGTCCCGTTTGAATTAACATAGCGGTTTAATTAAAAACTAAGTAGAGAATTCTGCTTAATTTGATTTTCAATTCAAGCTCTGCATCCGCCATGGCCAGTGGCCAATTTCCACATCTCGGCACAATATGCAAGGGGCTGCTTTAAAATCGATTGCCCAGGGCAATCAATGGGAGTTTGGTGGGACCATATGCCATTTAGGGGCTCCACCAGACTTCAACATAGTAAAACAACACCAGGAAGTGGCCAAAGGAAAAAAAAGGAAATTTAACTTAACCATATTACAAGTTTGTCCTTACTCAAATTATTGTGCTGAAATCTACCAATTAGAAGTGTTTTCTAAGCTCTCCTCAATGTTGCCTTGGAAGTAGATATGTCAAATGTAACCAATGAGCAAAAGGTTTTAAAGGGATACACACAAATATATACATGTTTGTCAGCCAGCTGTGTCAAAGATGTCAGCGACCAACCCCCTTCATCAGAGCAGCAGAGTTCCTAACTGCGATACAACCTATAGCCCTGTGGAAAGCGCTACAGATCTCACCAAACACTGTTCGGAACCTGTGCAAGTAAATACCAGATCTTATATAACAGAAAGGCATAATACTGCAAGGCTCAAACACATACCTAACACATTTAGACTTAAATATACAATGCTAATAATAACCCTTGCAAATTCCATGTAACTGAAAAAGGTGAATATTGTAAAATAACATGCCATGATTACCCTGATTTTAAAGCTCTCTAAACATTTCTAATAGGGTCTACAAGCACCTTCTCTGTCTCTTTTTTTTAATTTTATTGAAGTATACTTGATTTACAATGTTGTGTTCATTTCTGCTGTACAGCAAAGTGACTCAGTTATACATACATATTCTGTTTCATATTCTTTTCCATCATGGTTTATCCCAGGATATTAAATATAGTTCCCTGTAGATGCACCTTCTCTTTAGGCAGTTTTGATTCTGCTTTAGTACATGCCATTTCAAAATGGGAAAAATAATTTGGAATCTTAAGACCGCCTAAGATAATAATACATGAATAATTAAGAGCTGACTCTATTTACTTGCTTTCTAATGATCTATCCATATAACGCTGATGTTTCCTAGAATACTTATCAGTCAAATGCATGAAGCTCTAGGATAGTGACAATAATACCTAACATTTACTGAGCTAAATCCTGGGCTAAATGCTTTACATGAATAATCACCTCTCATTTAATCCTCCAAATGAAACAGTAAGGTAACTATCATTACTATACCCATTTTACAGAAAGAAAACCTGAGGTTTAGATGATGTAACTAGCCCAGGCAGTCTGACACTGAAGACAAATTTTCTCACCTTAGTACCTGCAGTCTCTCTTCCATTGGCCCCTCCCTCAGCAATATACTAATAGAATTATTCCACCTCTTCTCCTCCAAGCCACAACCCCATCTCCCTCCTTCCTTTAACAGCATTAAAGACAAAACACTTTAATTTGGTTTCTGCAACTCCCATTCATCCCCAAGCTACCAGATTCTAAGAAACAGTAACCATCCTGAGCTCTGCCTTCTGCCCCTCTTTTTAAATTCTTCACTGTGGGGACTTCCCTGGTAAGACTCTGCACTCCCAATGGGCAGGGGGCCTGGGTTCGATCCCTGGTCAGGGAACTAGATCCCACATGCCGCAACTAAGACCCGGCAAAAATAAATAAATATATTTTTTAAAAATCCTTTGCCGTGTTTGGGAATTAACTGGATTGGTCATGTCGACTGCACCCTACAATCACTCAACACATCAGTCCCCTTTGAGACCATGAAATGTAGCTGGTGACCTTGAGGAGGCTGACACAGTCAGAGATGTGCTTAGAAAAGGCATTCTTCTAATCATGTATAAAGAGACCAGAAGTAAACAGTTTAGAGGAAGAAGTGCCGTACAATTGTAAGTGCAAAATATTTTTACTTACCTTCTTATACCCCTCCTCAAGCTGATTCTCCCCTTTGACCCTAGTCTACAAGGGGGAACAGGAGAACACTGGGTTCTTGTGTCCGTTGTTTTTAATTCTAGAGATGGAGCTAACTGTGCTCCAACAGATTCTGCCAAGTCCCTTTTCTAGTTGGTTAGTTCACAGGAAGGGAGGGAAATAATTTGGAGACAAAGGGGTTTGTCCATATTGCACACTGCTTTTTAAAATAATTTAACTAATAACTAGATTTTTATGAAAAGCATAAACTAGGTAGCACACCTTTAATACCAAACATGAAAATATATTTAACACTGAGCTTTACCAGTTGCTTTTGTACCTGATAAGATAACACATGAGACAGAACTAGGGAGAGGGGAGCACCGTGCATGTTTAAAGCAAACATCAACATGGCAACTTTAGTGACATATGTTGAAACGCTCTGTTTAACAGAGCCAGGTGCATGACTGATTCAGTATGGTGACATCTCTACCAAACTGTGTCTCGCATTGTGTGGTGCATGTACTCCTTTCCCTAGTGACATATGTTGAAATTCTGACGAGTATTTATCTCTAAATATGCTTAAATAAAACAGTAGATGCAAAATTTCTTTTCAAAAATCTTCTGCCAACTCCCTGTTGTCTACAGCATAAAACCCAAACAATGTGGCAGAGGACTCAAGCCTCCAGGATCTGATCCTGACAAGAGGTCTCTCGCCATTCTCCATTCTACAGCTAAGCACCAGCCAGCCACTCCCTCAATTCAGGCAGAATTCAGGCCTTTGCTCAAGCCTCGAATGCTCACCTGCAAGTCTCAGCTCAAGTGCAGGCTAACCCCTCCCTGAAGCTTCCCCAATTCTCCAGGCAAATCAAGACCTCCCCTCACAGCCGCTCACTGTATAAAAGTTCATCCACCACATGCTACTTGTTTTCATCTCTGAGGTCATCCTCTCTTAATCCCTTGAAGGCAAGAACCTGTCTTTTCACTTCTGTACCCAGCAAGCTCCTTTAACAGCACAGTAATTATAACTTAGTAAGTGCCTAGTAAAACTCTGTCAAATGTGTGACTATCTGCCAAAAGCCTCCAAAATTCCACAGAAATTGCTTTCTCGAGCGTCTCTGATGACCCTGCTTCTTCTCCGTGCTCTTCCTTTCCGACCCCGCTCTGACGCCATGCTTTACCTTCCACTCTCCTGAGCTCTGTCTGGGCGTCCAGGCCACACCCCCCTTGTTCTCCTACTGCCTGGCGTCCCCACGCAAAGCCTGCCTTGCCCCTTCCTCTGCCCGCGCTGTGGTCCCTTCTCCTCCCTCGTCGGTGCCCGGCCTGTCACCTGCCTGGCTGGCTCTAACTGGCTCTCCACAGTGTTGACCGGTAAAGAATGTGCACACTCTGGGGAGGTTAGAAGCAAGCCCTGGGTTTTAGTCCTAGTTTTGCAGTGGTACATATGTGGCTCTTAGACAATTTAATAACATTATCTTTGGATCTCCATTTCCTCCTTATAAAAGGAGGGTTTGAACTAAGTCCCTTTCAGCAGCAAAACTTCCTATCATTCTTCAAGAAATTATCAACAAAGAGTTTTTTAAACTGAAACTATGCAAGTCTTTCCCATTACATGGATGACTTAAATAATTAACATATGTCATTATAAAAAACAAACCTAATAGATAAAAGCCAGTTTTCTCGGGGCTTCCCTGGTGGCACAGTGGTTGAGAATCTGCCTGCTAATGCAGGGGACACGGGTTCGAGCCCTGGTCTGGGAGGATCCCACATGCTGCGGAGCAACTAGGCCCGTGAGCCACAACTACGGAGCCTGCGCATCTGGAGCCTGTGCTCCGCAACAAGAGAGGCCGCGGTAGTGAGAGGCCCGCGCACCGCGATGAAGAGTGGCCCCTGCTTGCCACAACTAGAGAAAGCCCTCACACAGAAACGAAGATCCAACACAGCAAAAATAAATTAATTAACTAATAAACTCCTAACCCCAACATCTTCTTAAAAAAAAAAAAAAAAAAAAAAAGCAAGTTTTCTCAATGTACGTTTGACCGCCATACCCAACCATCCATTCTGATCTCAGTACATTCACTAAATATGAAACCAACCATCTATCACAATATGAATATGAATAACCATAACTAAAAATTAGAAAGGTACAATGTGTCTATAAACTGTAACACTAGAACTCATTTTGTCAGGTTTAAAAGTCATCCCAAAAGTACTAACTACTGAAATCTTCGCATTATATTCCAAGCTTTTATAGCAAACAGCTCCACAAGCTATAAATGGAAATGCTGTTCCCTTCACTTTTAAAATGCTCTATTCAAGGACAGAGGGAGTTACTACCATTGACAAGGTCTGGATTAACTGTTTAAGATGCTCATGCAGACTGTTCTGTTTTGCCCACTTCTCACGCTCCCACATTCACCTAATATCAGTAAGTCACAGGATCCTGGGAATAAGAAAGGAATAATAGCTATTGTATCAGGTTTATTCATTCTACAAAAGAACACTCCACCAACTTTGCACATAGTATAAAATCATTCAAAGGTCAAAAGATGACTTCCTCCCTGTAGACATGTAAAATAACTCAATATGTAACATTGTTACCACTATTGTAAAAATATTATTAATATTAACAAGACATTATTATTAATTAAACCTCTTACATTCCAATAAAATGGTTGTTTAAGCCTATTTTTTCTAGTTCAACATGAATGATATTTACTTCTTCATTTAAGAAATTTAATTCTAGGGCTTCCCTGGTGGCGCAATGGTTGAGAGTCCGCCTGCCGATGCAGGGGACACGGGTTCGTGCCCCAGTCCAGGAAGATCCCACATGCTGCGAAGCAGCTGGGCCCGTGAGCCACGGCCACTGAGCCTGAGCGTCCGGAGCCTGTGCTCCGCAACGGGAGAGGCCACAGCAGTGAGAGGCCCGCAGCCCGCGTACCGCAAAAAAAAAAAAAAAAAAAGAAATTTAATTCTCAAACATGATTCACTTACCCTTTTCAGGCCAGCAAAACCTTCTGATTCCAGAAAGAAAAAGGCAAAGGGCATCAACACAAATAGACAAAGGTTGGAAAAGAGAGAAGCAAGGTTCCACAAACCTGTGAGAAGGGTAACAAGACAAGAAAGATGAGTTTACACATGACAATCTTGTCAAAGACAATTACTGTGCTAAATTGTAATATCAGTCAAAGCTCTGTACTTTTTAATAGTAAAAATAAACATAAACTTGAATAGAGAGGCCTAACAAATGACCTAAACTTAGAAATCAGAAAAATAATTACATATTTCTATAAAATTTTTATAACTTTGTAACTTGTACCTATTGGGAAAAGCCAATACAGAAACTAATAATTTTTCCTCATGTTCTAAAATAAATTCACTAAACATATGACATACGCAGAGATCCAAAGACACAGCCTCTTCAGACATATTGGCACCTGAATATTTAAATTAGAGCCAGTAGCATTTATCGAGCACTTAATAAATGCCAGATACTCTACTAAACATTTTACATGAATAATCTTGTTTAATTTAAGCCTCATAAAAACCCGAAATGTAATAATTAGCATTTATTGAGCCCTTATGTGCCAAGCACTATTCTAAGTGATTTACAGATATTATACAAACTCATTTACTCTTCACAGCAATCCCCCAAAATGACAGAGGCTGCTTATATAAAACGTGCCACGGCTGCAGAGCCTGCAAGTAGCTGCACTAATTCCTGGGATTTTTAAAAACCACTGCATCGTAGAAGTTTTAGTAAAGCAACTCCAAGTGGTATAGAAAATGTAAGAGGGGCAAGCAAGCTCACATCCCCTTTTTCCTTTCTGGCACATTCTGCAATCATAAAATCACAATAAAAAGCAACTTAGGTGATAATAAGACTAGATTTTTAAAAATACAGAACTTTAGGTATGTCACTGGGATAATATTTGGACCAACATCTCACTTTTTATAGGTAAAACACTTAACTTTAAAACTGTTGGCTACAATCTTCATTAAAATTTACAAAATCAAGAATCAAATATAAAAATTATGCTAAATATAAATTCAATGTACTACATACAATTATGATCCAATGCTTCTGAAAACAGGCAACTCATGTTCTTTCAACACCCTTATTTACAAGGCACTGTTCCATGCACTGGAGATGTAGTAACAACAGAGCACAAACCTGCCCTCACAGAGCTTCCTTTCCAGACACATGGAGACTACACACTGAGCTCTCAGGGAACCAAGGAAACTAGTTCTCAATTGCCTTAGTTACAAATTAACATATGTGTTTCATAACTACCCTAAATCCTTTTTGGAACAGCATGGAATACAAACAAAAAGAATGAATGCAGGGCTTCCCGGCTGGCGCAGCGGTTGAGAGTCCGCCTGCCGATGCAGGGGACACGGGTTCATGCCCCGGTGCGGGAAGATCCCACATGCCACGGAGCGGCTGGGCCCGTGAGCCATGGCCGCTGAGCCTGCGCGTCCGGAGCCTGTGCTCCGTAACGGGAGAGGCCACAACAGTGAGAGGCCCACGTACCGCAAAAAAAATAAAAATAAAAATAAAAAATGTTCTAAAATACTTTTCCACTTTTCAGTCTCTAAAAAAAAGACGCTAAACATCTTAACCCTTTTCTTCATTCAAACAGGTTATAATTACAGCCAATTGTTGTATCGTGTTAATAACCAGGAAGAACACACAGGATGGTGGCCAAATGCACACATGGGGCTTTCACACAGACCTGGGTTCGAGCCCCATCTGCACTTCCATGTGACAACACTTCTAAGCCACAGGTTCTTCATCTATACAATGAGGCTGAGGATCATGTCTGTAGGTGGTGCTGAGAATTCAGTGAAATAATACATGAACAACCATCATCACGCCTGTCACAAAACAAGCACTTAATGACTTTTTGCTTTTAATAACAGTAACACCTCCAGAGGCTACCAACACACAGTGCTAATTAGCCCCTGTACCAAAGTACCATACTTTCTGAGAACCCATGTTCACTTTGCAGAAAATCACGACATATATAAAAAGTAAAAATATTAGTTTCTAAAAAATTTGTTGAGTTATGTAATTGATATAAACTACACACAAATTGTACAATTTCATAAAATGTGGCAGTTATGTCACCATAACCAACATAATATATTCATTCCCCCCAAGTTTCCTCACACCATTTTATAACCAGTGTCTCTTGCCACTCCCTATCCCACCCCATTCTCCATCAGCCAGATTCTATACTTTATAAAAGACTGTATTTTCTAAAATTTTCTATAAATGGTAGGTGTAGTATGTACTCCTGTTTTTGTCTGGCTTCTGTCACCTAGCACAATCCTTCTGAGATTTTTCAACACTGGGGCAGTATCAGTAGTCTATCCCTTTGTATCAGATTGAATCCAGTTACTACACTGCATTCATCCATAGGCAAACTGCTATCTGGGTTGTGGCTCTCACAACTAAAGTTGTTATCAACACTCACATATGAGTCTTCGTATGGACACAGGCTTTCATGTCTTTGGGGTAAATATGTGGGCATGCAATGTCTGGGTCATATAGTAGGTGTACGTTTAACATTTTAAGAAACTGCCAAAATATTTTCCAAAGTGGGTGTATAATTTCACATTCCTACCAGCAGAATTCAAATCTCATCCACATTTTGACAAACAATGGTACAGGCAGTCTTTTCAGTTTCAGCCATTCCAATAGGTGTACAGCGGTATCTCATTACTGCTTTAATTTGCATTTCCCCAATAAATGAATACGTGACCATCTTCTCGTGAACTTATCTGCCATCCATTTACACCTTCTTTGCTAAAATGTCTCTTCAAATCTGTTGCCCATTGTTTCACTGGGTTGTCTGTTTACTTACTGAGTATACTTTATATACTCTGAATACAAGTCTTTTATCAGGCATATGATTTACAGATATTTTCTCCTACTTCGTGAATTGTTTTTTCATCCTCTTAACAGTATCTTTCAAAGAACAAAATTTCTTAATGTTGACGAAGTCCAAGCTATCAATGTTTTCTTTACAGATCATGCTTTAGCTATCTTACCCAAGAAATTATGATCTAGCCCAGTGTCAAAGACTTTCTCCTACATTTCCTTTTTACAAGTGTTACAGTTTTAGGACTTACATTTAGATCTACGATTCTTTCAAATTACTTTCTGTATATGGAGCCAGATATGGATTTAAGTTCATTTTCTACCTACGATTATCCAATTGCTCCAGTACCATTTGTTGAAAATAGCCTTTTCCGCCAAATAGCCTTTGCACCTTTGTTAAAAACAAATTTACAATATGTTTGGATATATTCCTGGACTCTCTATTCTGTTGAGTTGCTCTATCTATCTTCCTGCTAATGCATACAGCACGGTATCAATTACTCTGGCCTTAAAATAATCTTTGAGTTGGGTAGTCAGTCCTCCAATTTTGTTCTCTTTCAAAGTTGTTTTGGCTAATACAAGTCGTTTGAATTCCCATCTAAAATCTTAGATCAGCTTTTCAATTTCTACAAAAAACTCATCCTGGTATTTTGACTAAGATTGTGTTGAATCTATAGATCAATTTGGGAAGAACTAACATCTTTACAGGACTGTCTTCTAATCTATGAACATGGCACTTCTCTCCATTTATTACAGTATGCTTTAATTTTCCTCAGCAGTGTTTCCTAGTTTACAGTATACAGGTCTCGCACATCCCTAAGCATTTCATATTTCTGATTCTACCGTATATAAACGGCACTGGTTTTTATATCAATTTCCAGTTATCCATTGCTAGCATACAGAAATGCAATGGAGTTTTATATATTGATCTTGTATCTTTGCAACCTTGCAAAATTCACTTATTAGTTCTAATAGCTTTCCTATAATAGATTCCATCAGAATTTCTATATAGTCATATAATCTGTTAACAGAGACAGTTTTACTTTTTCCTTTCCAATCTCAATGTCCTTTATTCTTTAAAAATCACCAGAACCATGTTGAATAGAAGTGGTAAGAGGGGATCTCAGGATAAAAAGCATTCAGCTTTTCACTATTAAGTATGATGTTACCTGTAGGGTTTTTATAGATGCTCTTTATTAAGATGAGGGAACTCCCTTTCATGCCTAATTTGCTGAGAGATTTTATCAGGAATGGACATTGAATTTTGTCATATGCTTTTTCTGTGTATATTATGATGACCATATGAATTTTTTTTTAGTATGTGCATATGGTAAATTAAATTCATTGATTTTGTCAAAAGTCATGATGTATTACCCTTTTTATTTATTGTTATATTTGATTTGCTAAAATTTTGTTTAAAATTTATGCATCTATATTCATGAGGGATATTCTTCAATAGTTTTCATGTATGTCTGGTTTTGGTATCAGGGTAATGCTGGCCTCAGACTTAGGAAGTATTCCCTCATTTTCAATTTTCTTAAAAAGTCTGTGTAGAATTGGCATTATTTCTTCCTTAAATATTTGGGAGGACTGAAAATGAAGTCTTCTTAGCCTAGAGTTTTGTGAGAATGTTTGCAACATTTCCACAATGTCTGAGAGGGTTTCAGTAGTTTTTGCCTTTCAAGGAATTTTTCCATTTCTCTAAGTTCTTGAATTTATTGGCATAAAGGTGTTCATAATATGCACTATATGCTTTTAACAGCTGTAGAATCTGTAGTGATATCACATCTCTCATTCCTGATATTGATAACTGGTATCTTTTTTTTTCTGATCAATCTGGCTAAAGCCTTATCAATATTATTGATCCTCTCATTGGTTTTCTCTACATTTTCTGTTTTTTACTTTGTTCCTTTCTCCTCTCATCTTTTTTTATTTCCCATCCTCTTTGGGATTCATTTGCTCTCTCTTTTCTTGTTTCTTATGGTGGAAGCTGTAGGAATTAATTTAAGATCTTTTTTTCTTTTCTACAACAGGTATCTTTGTGCTATAAATTTTGGAATGTTTTATTTTCATTTTCATTGAGTTCAAAGTACTTTCAAATTTCCCTTTTGATTTCTTCTCTGGCCTAAGAGTTATTGTGAAGTATGTTATTTAGATACCAAATACTTGAGGGATTTTCTAGATATGCTGCTGTCACTGATTTGCCATTTA